CACACACACAGTCATTTAATTATTCATTCAGATATTCAGTTGCTTTCTCTCTTTCATTCTTCCCTCTGTGTATCCTTTCACCTCTTGTTCTCTTTATGCCACTTTCTGTCACAAGCTGGTTCAATTAATCAAATATGAAGCATATAAGCATTGAAGATTTTCTCTATTTCACATCAAGTTAAAAGTGTTTTTGTGCTGTATTTCCGATTTGTAAAAGCCTACGCATCTTTGCTTCATTGCCTTTAAGATCTGAGCAATGATTCACTGAAACACAACAAAAAAAAAGTGACAAAAACCTGCTGCTTTGTAACCTACACCGCTTATATATCAAAGTAAGAAGATTACCAATCAGGTAAAAAAAAAAAAGGAAACGGCATTTTTCAGACAAATGCAGCCAGTTTTTGGAATTTACTATTTTATGTCACACACAGTAGCGTGTAATGAAATGTTGAGTGTGTGGTTTAACATTTCAGAAAGCTGGTTAAAACACCTGTAGGCAGATGTGTCCAACCTGAGAAAAACAGTGCATCAGCAGCTAAATAGAGAAAGAAGAAGGCCAGAACCTAAACCTAGTCAAAAGCAAGGCAGTAAGGACAGCGGTAGAAAAGAATAAAGGAGCCTCTCTATGCAAAAATAATGGTCAACAGTGAGTTCTTTTCCTCTTATGCCAAGATGAGTCTAAACTGAGGAGGAATTCAAAAGCGCTGTTTGGCCTGTACTTCCATTAGTGGCCTCTTGTTTCCTTTTAAGGTTTTGCACATACACTAAGTTATTGAAGTTATCAACTCCTGTGTTTAGATACAAGCTCAAATACATTCTTTTTTTTTTATGTCAACTCATACCTAGAAATAAATGTATTAAATCCAGTAGTATTATCGTCGGGGTATGCCACACAAAGAATAATGCTACAGTTTTTGTGACGTCACTGTGGGGACCTATATGTGTCATTAAATAAAACCTTCTAGAGCTAGATTCAGGCCAAATGCCATCCAGGGTGTATTATAGATCTGTCTAAAAAATGTTTATGTTCTGTTTTTAAAAGAAATACTGATGATATGTGCATAATATTTTCTCTAATATTAATATGCATTGGTTAATGACTGCTGCTACTTTGCTTTATTTCTATACTGCTGTAATTACATCTTGTAACTGTGCTACTATATCTTACAGCAATGTAATGTAAGAGGAACTTTGTTCCACTACATAGGACAAACAATGCTCAGGAGAGCAGACATACACAAAGCACACATGCTAACATTAAGACTGTACTTTCTCTTCCCAACATGTGTATTTACATGGTTTATAAAGGATGAAGATAGAAGAGAGATAGAGAGATGGCGGAAGAATGAAAGAGTAGAGAGAGACGGGGAGGGATGAAGAATGCACAGATGAGATTTCAGCAGCTCTAAATCTCTGTTTCTCCTACTTCACTGTAACAAGCTACTAATTAAAACAGCTTAGAGGGAGGGGGAGGGAGAGAAAGAGTTAGAGATGATTGCCTCCTGCATAATCCTATAATTATCACAGTCATAAAAAACAGTCACTCTGTCAGTCTAATGAAGAGATGTGTTCACAATTACTCTCAGAAAGCTCTGCTGAAACTCAACGCTCTGTGTCAAAACATTTTTCCCCGATAAGCTCACTCTCTTTTTTTTTTCTGTACAAATCAACACTAAAAAGATAGTCCAATATTTCTTTCAACCAGTTATGCCACTTCATAATTAATGAACAAAATCAGAAGTATGCTACTTATTAATTTGAGAAATTGTTAGCACAGTAATGTGTCAGGATACTTGACTTCAGTGTGACGCCAAATTATCATGAATATTATATCAACAAATACCATATTTAGTTGTTTGAGGTCTGATGCTTCCAATTCCTACTTTGTCTTCATCATAGATTAACAGATCCAAATTATCACTTCTACCAAAACTCAAACTCAATTAGCAACTTTCATGAACACACACAGACACACTGTAGATCTCTGGATAAATATTTATAACTTTTTACCTGCCACTGATGGTGATCTCATTGACAGCAAAGTATCTGTGCCGCTGGTTCACCCCGCCTGCTCTGGTGTGGTACTGTCCGCTCATATGTATCCTGACCTGGGCAGCTTGTACCATCTCCTGCAGGGCTGGAGTGTTGTAGAAGTCATTATAACCCGGCCTCAGGACTGGCCGTGTGGTCAGCAGGCTGAAGGTGATGTTGCCTCCAGAGAAGGGCACGGCACTGGCACACAGGAAAACATGAACATTAGATTAAATCAGGAAAAAAAGAACAATTTATATATTCAAAAACTTATTTAACAAAGACATCAAATGTTTGCTTGTCAGGGTTTTTCATGACTCAGCATGCGATGACGACTCAGCAGTCAGTATGACTGGTCAGCAAACAATAAAGGCAACAGGTCTGTGGTGCCGTATTTGACAGAAATCCATGCATTGTCCCATCATTTCTTATATTAACAAAACTTGTTTAAAAACGAGTTTTGCTTTATTCTTACTTTTCTAACATTTTGGCTCTGGTGCAGTGCCTCTGGCAGAGCACTGACAACATCTTTGGGGATGCCAAAAAATGCTTTATGCAGGAAAAACCCTTTTTGCAGATGCTATGAAGCACACAGTCACTGTAACACAGTTTGTCCTCCAGAGAACATCGGTAAATTAATTTAATCTTGTCACAACTCTTTAAAAATTGGGTATAATCACCAATTTTATAAGAAGAAAATCAAATGAAAACATGAAAACAATGTGAAAGAAGTCAATCGAAGTGATGAACCTACAGATAATTTTCACCTAAATATTACATAAACTTTTATTATGTACAAGAAATATGTAAGAAATTATTGTCAAAACATCCCAAGGACAAAGAAACATATTTTAGATTTCAGATCCTTTCACACACATACAGATAGCAGCTTTTAAATGATTCATGTAGAAAGATTGAGTTGATTTAGTAAAAATAGTAAAACCATTTCTAAGCAGTTATTTTAGTAGACTACTTGGTTCCAATAACTCCACAACACTTGGGGGAGCAGCGCTCATCTGTCACGATTTGTGCAACTGTACTTGAGATATGCTCACACACAACTATAGTGGGAACAGCCTTGTCACAGTGGAACATGCCAGCTTCTGCCTTGTACAGGTGGCACATATTTACACTGGGTTGTTTCTTTAATTACTTGGAACCATTCTTCAACTGCTTGGGGAGATTGGCAGATTCTGGCGGAGGCAGGGTGCCCACACAGCCTCGATGTACGGGCTGGTAGGTCATGTGACACAGCGTCACTACTCCCAAGCATTTGGAACTAATGTCTACTGGTTTAAAAAGGTTGCTGTTTATGTTATATGTTTATTAAAAGTTCAGTATTTCTCAGGCCATAGTCTACAGCAGCACAGCCGAACACACAATGCAAATGCCAAGGCAAAGACATAAACAACGAGTATCTTCCTTCTGTCCTCCTTCCTCTCCCTTTAGTGCTCCCTTCTACTTTGTCTTCACATAATGCTGCAAGACTTATTCAGGCCACTTCTCTTGTGAGTGTGTGTGTTTGGAATAGTATAGTGTACACTATGCTACACATATTGTCACAAACATTATGTGCATGTATGTACCTGTGTCCACTTAGCACACAGCAGCTATGAACACATGCAGGTGGATGCACAAAAAAATAACACGAACTCACTGAGAATAAAACAAAGTGTCCATTACTATGTGACAGTCAGGGTCATCACTGAATGGTTTAATTCAGTGAAGTGAGGAGTGTCCAGTGTTTCCTTTGAAGTCTTTCATCAAAAATAGAAAATTGTTTCCTCCATGATGTTGTGTGTAAGTTGCAAGTGATTAACCAGTTAACAGAATTTTAGAGAATGCCAACTTGATAAGAGCTAGATAAAGCTGGACAGTTTTATTTCTTTGTTTAGTACTACAGAAATCTGAGAATTTGTCAGGATTTTTCACCTGAAAAGAATGTATATTTATTTGCAGATGTGTTTGGTTAATATTTAGTTCATAATCCAGCCAGGAATCACAAAAAAAAATCATGTTTACAACACCAATGTAGTGATACACAATGGTTCCAGTGCAGCACTATTCTTTTCAGTTGAAAATCTAATTAGTAGCAACACTATAAATATTACTTTAAAAATAACAGAACTACCACACCACTAAACATACACAATAAGCCTCAATATTTAGCCCACTGACAGGTGAAATAAATAACACTGATCATTGTGCTACAATGCAATATTCTGTTGGGAAGCCTTGCATTCACATGTCTGTGAAGATTCTCAGTCGTCCAGGTCATGGTTATTCTGGTAGATGAATCGTAGCAACTGGACTTGCTTGAGTTCGTTGAAGACGTTTCACCTCTCACTTGCATTCATATGTATATTTCTACAACATGTACCACCAACCTAAACGCTGTGTCCACACCAAGCAAACCCCCCCCACGGCAACAGTACTCCTTGACAGTATCAGCCTCCCAAAGCAGGACATATCACCCTGCCACACAGCAAAAACTGACCCAATCTGATATAGCATCTGTGGGATGTGACCGATCTATGGAGAGCCAACACTAAACCAACAGAATCTAAAGGATCTGCTGCCAGCATCCCGGTGCCAAACACTACAGGACACCTCCAGAGTTCCTGTGTCCGTGGCTCGACAGGTCAGAGCTGTTTTGGCGGCAAAAGGCGGACTTACACAATATTAGGCAGGTGGTTTTAATGTTGTGGACGGCCAGTGTGTATTACCGGTACAACTATGAAAAACATCCAGGTCCTTGCAAAGGAGACGATGAAATAATAAATGCTTACAATGTTAATCTTCCATGAAAATTTCTGCGCAGACTGATTTTGTTCCACCTCTCACTTGCCTAATGTCTCTGTGGGTAATGCTTCTCATTACTATTGCCTCACAAAATCACCTGTTTATTCGAACATGTAGACAAAATGCAAACATGAAAAAAAAAACGGAAATGACTGGGGCTTGCCTAAATTTATCTTTCCAAACACTCGGCTGGGCTCAGAGGAGGCAATGTGTCTTGCAGGATTAAAATAAATCTAGCAAGATAAAACACCTAAGTTTAGCGAGATCAAATAAAACATTCTTTTTTGATATAATTATCAACCACTACATGTGTTAATGTGTTACCAATGTGAGGTTCAATTGCTCTCATGCCAATTTAACTAATACGTCTAACTGTGCCAGGAAAGGTTGTATGTGATATCATTTGTCAGTCAAGTGAAAAATAAGCAATGACTACATAATCTGTGATCTATTCATACTACCTTCTATCTAGTGCCAACCAAGCCCTTGATGCACGCGGCTATGCCAAGATTTAGTGTGTGAGATTGTGTGTGTATGTTAGACTATGTTCCAAGTCCAGTTGTGTATCGAGTGCCAACGGAGAGCCTGTTACCGGTCATGTGCCAAAGCAACGCTGTAGGTGGTTAGCTTTATAAATCTAGTAACTGTGAGGGTGCCAGTCCACGTGTGTGTGTGTGTGTGTGTGTGTATTACCTGTATGTGTCTGCTTTCCTTTCATTTCTTTTGACTGGTGTGTGTGTGTTGTGCATATGCCTGCATAAACATACATTTATACGTGTGTGTTCATACACTTATTTAGTGTTGCCAACAATTTTCTGTGCAATCTCCTCTGTACTGAAGAGGCCATGACCCCCCAGGAGTATACAGCAAGAACATGTGGTCTTACTTTAGGGAGAATGGCCCAAACAGACAAAGAATGCCTTATATTTTTTATCTTTTTCACATATTGAATAAACAAGGCATTTAAAATGGGAAGATTAAACTGGTGCCTTTTTCCAAACTAATGAAATTCAATTTCAAGTTACTGAACATATAATATACACATGCATATACTTCACCACAATTCAGTCATTAATCTTCATAAGTGCATCAGCGTATCAGTAGATATTTGGCTTCTCTGCAAACAATTAGTCAATATGAGATGTCTATAAAAGTATTCACCCTCCTAAAGACTGACTTGAAGGGGGTGAATACTTATGCAATCACCTATTTTACTTTTTTTTTTTTTTTATTTAATTGACATTTCTTTGTAGAAATGCATTTTTACTTTGACAAGAAAGAGTCTTTTATTTGTAAATTCTTTTTTTTTAAGTGAATTTTAACTGACCATGATTCTGTGTTGAAAAGCAGTAAAGAGGAAAAACTTCCAAGGGGGTGAATATTTTTTACAGCCACTATAGTCGACAGTACTGACTGTTTTTTCCACACCTACCTGGGCAGCTGTAGACAGTTGACTGAGTCTGGTCTTTGTAACAGCCCATTGTTCTGCATTTCAAACACATTGCAGTTTCTGGCCATATACTGCCAGTCCATCCAAGGCTGTTCTGTGACGGTGCCACTCTCAGACTCTGCGAGGTCAAGCTTCCGTCTCTGGATGAGAACTGACTCAGGCATGATGCCGCCAAACTGAACTATAACATAGAATATCTGCAGGAAAGAGAAGTACAAAGCTGCATAAATACAACCTGGTAGATCTGTACAAAGCAATTCAATTCAAAACACACAGGACTGTTGAGTGTGTGTATGTCTCTAGTGTGGATTTGCCAAAGAAACTGTAAGATAATTAAATAAAAAAGACAAGTCGGACGTGCATATACGGATGGATGTTTCTGTTATTTGCATCCATCTGGAGTTTCTTGCATAACATCTTAACCTGGGGACCTGCTGTGTGTATTCCTGGCTTGGGAAAGTGCAACATCACTCCTGTTAGGAGAGTGCAGATAAAAAAAGCTACTTTCTACCTTTAGACGGGTGTAATAGAGTCACCAGAATAAAAGGAAGGGCTACTGACTGCCATGGATTACAGAGCTGGACAGAATCACTCATTTGTCTCTATTATGTCCAGCTGGTGTTAAGGCCACAATTAGATTAAAACATTTTTGTCTGGATGTTCACTGGTTGAAAAGCTTACAATAAGAATGGATGAACAATGACCAAAGCATCAAGAAAAAGGGGGAGTAGCATGTTTTAGCCATCACACATTTACAAAGACACACAGAAGTAGTTTCCTATCACATATAAACCATGTGCCTGCCTGTGTGTAGGTGTGTGTGTGTGTGTCTTAAGTGTTATCTGGCTCCACAGTGGGGACTGGGACACTGGGTTGCACAGCAGGGAGTGCATTAAGCCTCCACCACTGCGTAAACCCTCACACACACACACTAACACAAACACCCCGAACTTCAGAAAGTGTCTTTTATCTGGAGACTTGAGTTGAGCGACCACATCAGGACAGCTCCCCAAATCCTGCCCACGATCACATACACACTACACAGAGAAGAGGGATGAGTCTTTTGACAACCTCAGTGAAGACAACACCCAAATTCAGCAGTCTCCCTCTCTTTCTGCTCCACTGTACGCCTCTGACTGAAGTGTTTAAAAAGAGCTGTCTGCAGCACACACAGGTGCTGGCAGATATATGCTGTAGTGTTCACTGCACAATGACAGAGTTTAGTCGACTGTCCAACCTGAATACATGACATTATTGTATTGTGTTTCCAATAAGGTAATCACATACTTTACAACTTTGTTCCCATTTGAATCCGTAGAGTAAAAACAACAGTTCACTGGCAACAACTGGGGATGTCATGATACTACTACAGCTATCATCCCACAGTGTTGGACACAGTTGAAGTGGCACAAGTGTCCAAAGTTCTTTTATTTTTTTAAATGACTCAGCAGAATATATAACACTGGTCTACATCCATTTTGGTGTCAAAGATTTTTGAGCAATGTGCTGAATCCAAATATTACATTGGTTTTGCTCAATGAGGTCAAAATTTAGATTTGTCACCACATGCACTTTATTACATTTTTTCTATCTATGCTTTGTATCATACAAAAGTCTTTTTCTATTTCCTGAAATGAACAAATTCTGAGACCTTTACAAGTTGATACTATAAATATTTGCAGGTGAATTAAATTTAGATAGAAAGTTCACCCCCTGGTTTATGAACAACACATTAGAGTCACGTGATTTTATCAGAAAGACATGGAGACCAGGTATCAGACATGCTGGGATGCAGTCATGATGGCCGATTACTGCTGGACTCTGAAGAGAGATAAACCTGCTGCTGATCATTCCAGGAGTTCCAAGAAGCACAAGTTCAAGCCCTGAATTTTGAGCAATGCTTTGAGTAATGTAGGGATCAAAGTCAAGGTCTGATAGCTCCATTGTGGTGTCTTCAAACGGGCACTGTACCAACTGTGGTAGATGATAGTCTATATTATATAGGCTACAAGTGACCAGTGGACTGATAAGCCCAGATCAATTCTGTCACCACACCTCAACCTAATAGGCAAATTTAGTATAAATCATTGTCTATAACCACTTTTGCAATTTAAAAAAACAACAACTTGAGAACAGTTTTTCAAACAAAACCCAACACACAGATAAAATACTTAACATTGTGCGTTTCATTACACCTGTTTCTGTCCTTGTTACAAAATAATATGTACGTCTGCTTAGATTCACATGGCTTACTCTAGATGCATTACCTGGTATTGTCCATTAGCCAAGTCCACTGTAATAGTGACTCCTTCATCCAGCTCCTGTGTAGTCATGATCTTAGACAGCCATGTGGTGCCCATGTCCTGATCGTTGATATAACTGAGTGGATGGGCGTTAAGGTTCAGCCTCAGGACTCTGTCATTGGTGGTGTCATCCACAGCATTGGGTATGCAGTATCTGTTAACAGTGACAGTATTTAGACGTACAACATTCCTATTAGCAGAATATAAAATGTGACGGTAGTGCTTTCAATAGAGGATTTTCATCTTAATTTTGCAACACCAACAATCAAGCAACTTTCTTAGTAACCACTAAGAACTTCAAATGCGGCATTTAATTTAACCAAACGGCATTTAAAAATGATCAAAATGTAGTCTTGTCAAAAGGAAAATTTTTAGACTAATCAGGACATCCATGCAAAATTGTACGCAGTAAACTAGATCAGTTTCATTTTAATATCTATTAAACATTTTTATTCTTGGGGCTGCAGGGGAGAGCGGTGGTTAGCACCGTTGCCTCACAGCAAGAAGGTGAGGACACCCGGCATCTTTCTGCGTGGAGTTTGCATGTTCTCCCCGTGCAGCGTGGGTTCTCGCGAGGTACTGCGGCTTCCTTCCACAGTCCAAAAATATGTTGAGGTTAATTGGTGATCCTAAATTGTCCGTAGGTGTGAATGTGAGTGTGCTTGGTTGTCTGTCTCTAAGTGTAGCCCTGTGATAGACTGGTGACCTGTCCAAGGTGTCCCCTGCCTTCACCCTGAGTCAGCTGTCTGGTCTCCCCTTAAAACATTTACTCTACAAACATGTGCACAGAACAGAGATAGTTATGATACTGTACCTCTCGACTAAAGGGTGCACTCTCGGGTGGCTCGGAGGACAGCGACACTCAGACTGGACGTGGAGCTCAGGCAGAACTCCTGAATACAACTCTACTATTTCCCTGTTAAAACAAGAAGACGCATATTAAAGAAAACAAGAAACTGCATGATAAACTATAAGAGGACAGCAAAGCAAAATGTAATCTTATGCACTGTTAACTGGGATGTGAGAGGGACCAGTTTACTACAGAATAAATGCAGGTAAACTTGCACTATTGATTAGCCTTTACTATTAAATTGCACTCAACTAAAACTACATGGCTACATTGTATTTTTCTAAAAGAAATGATCCCCCCCAAAAAAAGAAACTTTCCAGAACGTACGGTTTGAACTCTGGGTACAGTCTGAGTTGTAACAAAGAAGCAAAAGCGACAGTGATCAAACAAGACTTCAATTTTGAGATAAAATCTTAACACACCTGTTAACGGGCTTTTGACTGAGCATTTAGTGCAAAGTGGAAAATCAAAGGCATAATTTGAAAACTCTGTCTTTCTGTTTGTCTCACCCCAATCTTGATGAGACAAACTTGTCAAGTCCAAGTCCGTACTGTGTGCAGTACATCACTGGTAAGCAAAACACTAATTGCTTTGTATTGAATTCTCAGGAAAATCCTCTGGAAGCAGTATGGATCTTAAGATGCAATGATTAGCCTACCTCCTCTTTCCTCTTACCATCCTTCCCTTTATCAGTCCATGCTGCTCCTCTCTTCTTGTTGGGTTAATCTATCGAGTGTCGCTCTATTTATCCTCATTTCTATCCCCCTTTTCCCTCGTTTCAATCTATACATCAATAGACTTTGACTCCTTTTTCTGTGTAACTCCCAGTTCCCGTCCTCATCCCTTCAAACCTTTCCTTTAACGCTTATTTCCTTTGGTCCTTTTATGATTCCTCCCGCCTTCTCTCCCCGTAGCTGCTCATTCCCTGCCTCTCATTCTATCCTACTCACCTGTTGGTCAAAGTGGCAGGATAAAATCTAAAATCCTGCATCCGCCCAATGAACTGATTAGACCCTGGAGAGATGAAAGGAGAGTAGAAAAGAACATAAAGAAGGTGTTAATGGGTTTGCACTGAAGGCAGTGAGTGAGAGGATTTCACAGTATTTAGTAGATTATCTTATCAGTTTCTTGATACCAGCTAAGTGAGGCTGCCCACAGCTGCTTATAATGGCCGAGTTCACGATACAAAGCTGAACACAATCTGCCACAGTCTTCATTTGTCTCCACTAGAGAGCAGCAAGGCTTCTAAGGGCAAATTCATTAGCTTGGATGATGGAAGGCCAAAATAGGTCTGTCTAAGGACAAGGAGGTATTACCCACTTGTTTCACTCATTTTCACAGAGGGGAAGAAAGAAAAAAAAACAGCTTCACGGGGTTTCATTAGCGTGTTTCCTCACTGTTTTTAACTGAACTGATTGTAGAAAGCGCTGCATACAGGAAAAATTCTATATGGCCACATTAAATTTTTTTTTTCCCCTAAAGTGTGAGAAAAAAAGTGTTAAGTAGGATGCAAGTAAGTAATTGAGCTAATTAAGTTAATCAATTATTTGAATTGTTTGGTCGAAAAATGTCCATCCATTTCAAGTTCTCCAGCTGCCCTGCCCAAGATGATGACTTCAAAACATGTGTGCTGTCAGAACAACAACTCTAGACACAAAGATATTCACTTTACTACCATACAAAACAAATAGGGGTTGTCCACAGTAAGGGAAGAAGATGCCGGTAATTCTTTTCTACTGTCAGAACAGTACGGTGAAGTCCTTGATAACACAACAGAGTCTTTCATCTACAGACCCTTTCAGCTCTTGGTGGCTGTTCCTGTTTCTGCTGTTTCTCTCAGCATTATTTAAAACTGATCTGTGAGCCAAATAGCAGAGAATATTTCCGTATCTGGTTGATGAGACGTGTTTGCTAAAGAGTAGCATGGCTAATAAAGTTCCACTAACTTGGTGAAAAGCACAGTGTTACTTCCCACTGGTTGACCTGCGTAAAGCTTTTAATGTGAGGCAGCAACAGCAGGAGATACTAAAAGTTTTCAGCTGACAACTATCAGTAAATAGTAAAACAAAGCTGGTATCTGAAAATACAACCAGCAAAACACTGGTTTGGAGTTTAGCTTCACACAGAGGGATTCAACAGAAGCGACAAAGGAGTTTTGTCTTTGTCCTCTTTTGTTTCTCCAGCACAGAGACACGTGAGTTTAGCAGCCAATGACACAGCTAAAAGGAGGAGACCATCACCGGCTAACCACAGATGGCACTGCTACCAAGCAGGACTACAGCAGCTATCCCTGTGTGATCCTAGCCCATGGAAAAACCCTAAAAGTATGGCAGGAAATCTTCTCAATTGAGGAGTTGGAACAAGCAATTTTTTTTTTTTTTAAACCTAATTTAGTGGAACGAGAGTAAGAAAAGAGAGAAGTCTGTGCAATGAGTTAAATGCAAAGACGTTGGACACTATATCCCCAACTCCCAACATCTCTTTAACAAGCATACATATACTGGAATACCTCAAACATAATGGCACAATGTCCAGACACACATGGGAATGCTGGACTGCACACCAAAGACACCATCAAACCAAAGAATAAACACAGGCAAGCCCCCAGTCCATCTCCACGGACAGCCATACATACGTGACAATGTTGGACGGAACATAAGAGGCCCACACAGACGATGACGCTGGTCCAAGGAGGGCTGGAGTCTTTTAGTGTCCAACCAACTTCTGTCTAGTTTGACAATAACTCAAGAAGATGGATAACGTCTGTAAGCATCAACAGAACCCCTGCCATGTCTAGCTTTGTCTGTGAAAGTGTGTCTGTGTGTGTGTGTTAGAGGCTTTACCGCGTGTATTCCCGAAAGCATCCTTACTTTAGAGAAAGTCTGTGTGCACAAGTGCGTCTGCATGTATGTGTGTATTTGCATTTGAGAGGGCTTTGGCGTGTTTGGCCCAACTACAGAATGAGCGTGTGTGTGTGTTTTGGAGGGGGGGCGTATGTGCATGTAAAACAGAGAGAGAGTGAGGGAGTGTTATGGGATGTAAGTGTGTTAGATCAGTGTGTGGTTGTGCAGCCTTAGGCTTTGGCTCAGGATTTCTTTAGCGTGTGGAAATGGGATTATGCCTTCCTCTGAAAAGCACTCTCCCTATTGTTACTGGGATGATGCAAGGTATAAGCCTTAATTCTCTCTTCTCTGTGTAGGTCTCCCTCTTCTTTCTGTGTGTTTTAGTTTCTGACAGCCGATTCTCTTCCTCTTCTTTGTTTTTATGTAGCTAGAACTGACGGCAGTTCATACGGGGACATAAAAGGTATGTGTGGTTTTTACAAATCTCTGTCCTTAACTGAACCGGTCACACACACCCAACTGTCAATATTAAAGATGCTATTTGCAATTTTTTCCTAATCCAGAGTTCATTTCTGGTTAATTCAGTGGCAGCCGCGATTATTGACGGTAACAGCCGCTGCAGTTTAACTCTGCAGGTGGAAGGATGCTGAAGGGACCAAACATTCCTCAAGCAGCCAGTTTCTCAGAAATGGCAAAAAACACTGCATATATATAGATCTTACAGTTTGTTTGTTTTTTAAATGCTTTGTAAAACACGTACCCCCAAAAAGCAACAGTGCAACTAATCAAATTCACTTTGTTTTATTCTGTTTGCATTAGCAATTGCTTTATCCAACTGTGATGCAGCTGCAGGAGAGTAAAGGGTAATCAGTGAGGCTGATATAAATGAGAAAAATACTGTGTGAGCCTCCCTTGGTCATTTGAATTCTTGATGGGATTGAAGCTCCACCAGTAAAAATGAAAATTACAGCATGAATATACACTGGTTAGAAAATGCTGATCAAGAACACTGATGAAAATCTTGCTTTGATTTCATGAACATCTTAAAAGGATTATAAGGATTTAAAGTCCCTAATGAAAAATCTCTTTTCCCTTTTGACACAAGTGATCACGCTGTCCTTATCGGCCACTTTAGCGGCTGTGGTGGGCGTTTAAAGCTCGTCTCTTGACAACTTCTTGTTGTACTTACAGTTTTCAGTTAGCAGGTTCCCCTCCAAAAACAGACATAGTTGTTAATCAATACATCTGATCAGCATTTGCATAATCAATGCACTGATCAGAATTCCAGACACAGCCCCCGGGTTCAACATCCACCCTCCTACACACACACACACACACACATGCATTCTCTCTCACTCCCCCAAGCCAATCACTTGCATTGATCACCCCCACTGATGTGATCTTCAGCTGATCAGATGCTACCTGCTGTGAACTAGGGATCAATGGCTGATAAACGAGAAGAAAAACACTCGTTTATCACCCTGGAGATGAACGGATATCATTTTTCTCTCAATTTCTCTGCTATTGACTCTGAGACGGCTCGCGGGCACCACGAATCAATCACAGACGTGTAGTTGAAGCAGGATAAAGGCAGGGAGGAAAATAAAGGTGAAGTAGTCATTGACACCATATTAAGATATACAGACACGATAAACTAAGAAGTAATTTTTCTCCTCTTGGAGAGAAAAAAAACTGATGGTGGTCCCTGTTGAGGCAGATGAAGGTGGAGCTAATTGTTGGAAAAAAAAGAGGCTCGTTCTTTGTTATTGGCGGGCTCTGCAGCAGTTTTAAACTTGTTAAAATATTTTTAACTAATTCCTCCAGTGTCAGTATTATAACTCATTTATAGCTATTTTAACTGAATGTATAATTACGCCGGTATTTTTTTTAAAGATTAGATTCAAGAGATTAAAGATTAAAATCATCTAAAAAATCTAAAATACAGAAATGCTTTAAAAAATGTTTACCATTGGAGCTGAGTCCCACCCACATGGCACCATCCTCGCCGATATCAGAGAGCCTGGTGGTCAGGAGCTGTGTGTCAAACGGTGTCCCATCCTCCTCAAGCCCATCCAGGAAAAGACTCACGCGTCTGTCATGGATCTGGAAATCCATTAAAGTGAGACATATGTGTTAGAAGCCCAGCATGAACAGAGTCCTGGTATTGTGTGTATTTTAGCTTGTTTTTTTCTGAAGGACAACAATCACAACAATGGAATCAAATCATGCCGACTACACTATGCCAATCAGATATAATTAACTACACTGAACAATGAATCACTTTGTTTTGACAGATTAGGTTGTATTAAGTGATATCTATGGATACTGTATCCCAAGTCTCTCAAAGATAATCAAGCAATACATCAGCATTTATATCAACATTTTTGGACACCACTAAGGCAGTGGCCCGAGGAGCAGGCGCAGCCGTAAAGGTCTAGCAGCAGGTTTACTACTGTAGCACACAACGTCTCAGAGAGAGTAGCAGCTGCTCTGTGTGCCTATGTGCATCTTTTTTTTTTTTTTTTTGCACACGCCATCGCTGCATATCTATGCGCGTGTATGTGTGACCACGTGTGTGTGAATTATACATACGGCTAATCTTCCAGCTCATTTCCCCAGTAGCAGAAAGAGCCTCGGGCTAAACTGCCTCAGCTGCAAATTAGCTTTCTGTTTGACCAAAAATCTCCTCTCCACTCCTTTCCCCTCTCCTTTCCTGATCTGCTGCATGAATATTAAAAACTGCACGGCAGACAACACCGTCAAAGCAGGAGCGGTTCCCTTTCACATCAAACCCAGGCAAAAGAAAGATACTTCCATAACAGGGACAGCCTCCCCACCCCCTCCACACACACACACACACTCTGTCACACCCCCTCCATCCTCCCACCAAAAAAAAAAAACTTTAATGTGCCCTGTCCCACTCTCTCCCTTTACTGCAATCTCCAAATCCGGTGTTTGGGAAACACACTGTGGGACCACTGATAAACGTGACTCTGCCTGTCTTACTAGAGTTCCCCTCTCCTGTTTCATCTTTCTCGTCTCTCCTCCACTCTGGTCCTCCTTGCTTCGTCCTTTCTCCTCCTCACGAGGTCATTTGGTTCCTTCACCTTTTTTCCTGTTTTGGAATTTTCTCACCTCATTTTCATTTTCTCCATTTTCTCCCCTTTCTCTTCCCTAACCCAGTTGACGACTTCCTCCACTCATCTCCCTTCCTGTCTCTTTCCCTCATGTTTATCTTGCCCTGTCGCTCTCACTTGTTGTCAGCTCTTTAGGGAAGTTGAAAAGGTGTGAGGAGGGAAATAAGTCCAAGTCAAAAAACGCCTTTAGGGGATGAAGGCAGGCCCAGACAAGTGTCTGCCTCTCAGAGGATAGTTAAGACGCCCAGACAGACACTTTCATGATGGCTGATTGAAGACTGGCAAGCGCATAAGAGCACAAGAGAGAGTGCGGGAGAGAATAAGAGTGGGAAAAAAAAAGGAAAGAGAAAAAGAGACAGGAGGGAGAAAAAGAAAAGTCAGAGAGCGGGTGTAAGAGAGGGAGCTAGAAGAAGGGCCCTCTTTAGGAATCTCTAAGCCAGAGCTGTGTGGCTCTTGGGGAGATGTGAGGCAGTTGTCAGGCCTGATGTAAATGAATCCTGAAGCGCTTCATCCTCCTTAGCCGCCACGCGCCCTTTTGAAACACAGCCAACTCCCCTTTGTTAGCTTTCACAAACACTTTCCCTCCGTTTTCCCTTTTTTCTGCCCATCTGTATTTTTACCTCCTCCCTTGCTCTACCTCTCTTTGTCTCTTTCAGCCAGTGTAACTTCAGACTTCTTTGAGAATAGTGGAAAAAGAGGAAAAGGAGTGAGAGAAGTCTTTAGTGCTGATAACTAGTCTCATTTGGACTGTGTCCACTAAGTCCAGAGAAAAGGAGAGGACTACTTCAAACTCTACCTAGCGTCTGCCTTTTACACAGAGGACATGTCATTTTGTGGGGAGCTTTAACTGAAGCACCACACAGTATTGTCACTGCATGCATATCCAGATAGGCCACAAGCAGCCATCAAGAATTTTAACTGTACCAACTTAAGCAGCATAATTTAAACTGACTTTTACTGAATGTCTTGAGCTTGTGTTACAACTTATTTAATGCCACATTCCCTATAAATACAATTGCCAATTAGAACAAATAATTAATACCAAAACTAGAAGCTAAATCGTCCTTTAACAATTGTGAGTTCATTACAAAAATAATCGGATTACTACCTTGACTACTGCATACTGTAGATGTGTTCATTATTGCTGCTTTATTTCTTTTTCCTTCAGTTGTGTAATTCGCTCCTGCAAAGCCAAACTACCACATTATAGGATTTAAGGTTGAACTGGAAGGAGAGATGAGTTCAGCAGGGTTCATTCCTGGACCGGCTTGGATATTGAATCTTAACCCCCGCACCACCTGTGGTCCCCGCCACCATTCATGGCTCCATTAGGACCATTAGTATCTGGCCTGGTTCTCTGCAGTGACAACATTATTTTCTCCTGCAACATTCCTGGAAAAGCCACAACTCATGTTAAGCCGACAAAAAAGTAACCCAGATTAGGAAGGATAACATTTTCTTTTACATGTTCCTACATTATATTGTATTTATTGCCATTTAACAGTTACTTTGCTGTTTTGTGACAGAAAAAATGGCTATAAAGAGCTTTATCATCAGTTATAGTGATGGCTACAGATCTTCTACCTGGCCATCAAACTCCATTATGTTTCACAACTTCCCCTTTTTATTAAATAATTTTCTTCAACTTTGTTATTTAAAGTTTTTTTTTATTTTTTTCTTCGTTGTTGTTGTTTTTGTGCTCTTTGGGAGTTTCGCTTTGCAAAACTCACCCCACTGGCAACAGTACCACCTAAGCCTCTCTAAAAGCCCAGAGAAACCCAGAGTGGAAAGCTTTTAGTGATCTGTAGACTGGCATTTTGACTAAAGCTCTTCTCGATTTTCACACTCCTGCCAAGCCATGGCTCAGTACACAGTGTGGACAGCAGTGTTTCTTCTAAGCTCACTTTGTAGCTGGAGGCCACAAAAGTAAGAGGTGGTAAAGAAAATATGAATAAAAATTGACACAAAGGCTGCTGGTCCAGTTGCAAAAAAATATATATATTACACATTTTATTACAACAGAAACGTCTCATTTGATAGAGATTTAAGAAACGGCTGTCTATATGCTGCAGACTAAAATGTTCTGCATTAAAAACAAGCGACAAACTGTGTCAGATAACCTACTTTTTTGACCTTTCCTTTTCTTAGTAATGGTGAAATGCAGGATAGTCTGTACATAGGAGAGGTAGACGGCTAACAGTTAACTGAGATAGGACAAGACCGGCAAGAAGAAGGTGTTTATGGCTCGGTTTATTTTCCACAAACTTGTCCCCATCATGACCTGCACTTTACCAAAGAACCAGGACATCACAGATTATTTCAGTTGTATAATTTTCAAGTGTTTCAGAGGTTGAGGAGGCAACTTGCAGATTTGAAAGCAATATTTACCCACAAATTAAATAATGCCTAACCAGAAACCAAACGGCAAGTCTGTTATTTTATTGTAAAATTATCAGCAATGTACACAAAACATCTAGCTTTCAAAAACACATATTACATGTACAGTATATGAAGAGTTCATTTGCAAAAACTAAAAAAAAAAAAAAACTAAACAACTCTAGATACCTGCTTTACTCAGATTATTTTAATAACAGCTCTATGCTATGCTGTATATGGGAACATGTGTATGTGTAAATACAAGCACAATTGATGGCTGAAATGTGAAAGAGATCATTTTTCGCATCTACAAACATGAGTTTTTAGACACTCCACTGTTCTGTTTTGACCTCACAGAGGATCCCGTCTCACCTGTTTCTCACATTTTGCACTTATTAGCTCCTTTCCTCGTTTCTATTCCTGATTTAAATCGCCACATTCGCAGCTTTTCTGTTGGTGGACCTTCGCCTCTCTTGTTGCTCCTCTTATGCTCGTGGGTCTCTTCCTCTCCAACTTCACCATCTTTTTTTCCCAACCTCCTCTAATCCCCGACTTCCCATCTCAGCCCCCACACATCCTGCTTCGCCAAGCTCTCTCCGCCCAGCCTCTCCTCCTCTGGGCTGTGTTGCCCTGTGACTGACTGACATGCCACTCTCTGATAACACACCTCATTCCACAGCCAGTGAAACTGTCAATGGGGGGATAAAGACAGAGGCATAAAGAAGAGGGAGGGAGGGAGAGAGAGAAAGGAATAAAGAGAGACATGATGAACGGAGGTTGGAGTGAAGAGTGCAGTGAATGAGAGAAAGATACTGATGTTGATAGAAGAACGGCGAGACACATGTGAGAGACAGCAAGAGAGATATTTTGTGAAGTATACAGTAAGACAGAGATGAAGAAATTAAGTAAGGAGGAAAAAACTCAAACGAAGAATCTGAAAAAACTGTGGATATGCATATATATATATTGTAAACTTAAATTCTGATTGTGTGTCCTCTCTTGTTCTGCCTCACTCCAGTATAAGCTGTGAAATAAAAGAAATGCAAAAGGACAGAGACTGAAAACAGGCCAGTAAATAACGAAGAAATGAAAGAAATCCAAGAGGATAATTATTAGAATTTAATCGGTCAGTTTAGCTCCTAAGAGGGTTTAAATGATTCAGCAGAACGGCCTTAAATCATTATCAATTAAACAGAATCAATTACAGTTAAGTTAAGGAGTCAGTACTTTTGGCCGTGTCGCAATTCTAGATTAAACAAATGTGAAAGGAAAGAAGGCAAAAGAGACAACATGGAGAGGAAGAGAAGCTGGGCCAGAACGGTGAAGATGGGCTGAAGAGAAGACAGAAAAAGACAGAGGTGACAATAACTTCCTGAAATGTCTCTGATTCTGCGTCAATGTGGACGTAGCAGGAAATGATATCACTCTGCAGAAACAAAAGCTCCCAAGAGCCATTTTAATCCAAACCTGATTAGTCGTAGCTCAGCTGAGCAAATTAAACCGCCTCTGCTTAAGTTGTATCTAATTAGACAACTTACTTGAAAAGTAAAGATCATTATGACTTGTTCATGTTATATTTGCACTGACGGC